TAGGAGACAGAAACTGGCACAAGTTTTTCTCTCATGACGAGTAGTGGTGATCATCTTACATTTCATATGCCAAAAATTGAACTCCCAACCTTCCTGAGGCTCACTCTGTAGCCTTCTCTATCTCAGTCAATGGCTTCTCTGTCTTCTCTGTTGTTCAGACCAGAAGCTTTCATTCCTCCCTTTCTTTCACACTTCATATCCGAACCACCAGCAAATTCTGTTGGTGTTGTCCCTTTAAATTACATCTAGAATCTGACCACTTCTCACCATGTCTTTTGCTGCCTCACCAACCCTAGTCACCATCAGCTCCTGAATGACTACAGGGGCCTCCTAAACATGGTCCCTTGCCCATGTGTGGTCTATTCTCAGCACAGAAGCCAGAGTAATTTTTTAAAAACACAAGTCAAATCATGTTTCTGCTTGGCTGAAAAGCTTGTGGTCATCCGTTTCATGTAGAGACGAGCCCATACTGGGCCTGGCCCCCTGAGCATCTGTTCTCTCTCATGTCACCTTCCAGTGCCCTTTGCCAGGCTCCTTCTCTGACAACACCCATCACCTCTCTGCTGGTCTTTGAACACAGCAGGCTCACTCAAGCCTTAGGGCATTTGCTCTGGCTGATCTCTTTGCCTTCAGACCTTCTTCTAAGTTCTTTCTTCCTCAAGAAGGATCACCTTGCCATCTTATTTAAAACTGTAATCTCTCCTCTGACCTGCTCCCCCTGCTCCCCTTTGCTGTGCTCTTTTATTTTTCTATAACATTTATTACTTTCTAATAAACTTTACAATCTAATTATTTATTATGGTTTATTGTCTGTCTCCTTTTGCTAGAATGTATGATCTATAAAGACAGAAAATTCTATTTTTTATTTATTTGTTTATCCCAGTCACCTTAAATAGTGCCTAGAGCACAGCAAGTTCTCAATGAAAATATGTTGAGTGGATGGTTGAATGGGATAAATGAAATGGATAAATGAATAAATGAATGAGCATAACCCCTTACTATTTTCAACATACATGTGTTGTGTAGGTTGATGAGAAGATTATTATTTTTCTCTGACTTTTATTGAGATATAATTGACATACAGCACTGTATAAGGTGTGCAATATAATGA